TCTCTGATTTCCTGTTTTCGAATACGGCCGGAGTCGATCCCCCCTCCGGAGAACCAGACGTCCTCCCGCTCCCAAAACGTCCTAGTTGGAGGGTCGGAGGTCCGGTGATCAGCCTCGTCGTGATTCTCCGTAGGCCGGACGAACTCTCAGGCGTATCCCGGCGGTGCCTCCAAACTTTTGTGGAAAATAAATAATTGTTCTAAACTTAAAAAAAACTCTTAATAAAAGAAAACCAGAGACATTTCTCTTTTAGCTCAAAACGGAGCGCGAGGTTTATTCTTTCTGCAGAAAGGAGTTGCTGCCTGCGTGAAGTCAGAACACAACACAGCACACTGGATTCTTAAAGAGACAGTACATATTATTTATACATGTTTCGTGCGTCACAATAAAATTCTATCATAATGGGAGGATAAGTTCCTCAGGTTGACACTATACACAAGTTCTTGTTATCAGTACGAGATGATGTTATTCTTCTTGTTGAAGCCGTGTTCTGTAACAAGTCTTCTGTCCATGTGACTAGAACATTCTGAAAAACATTGTGGAGCTGGTATTTTTTAATTAGATTTGTAACAGTCTTTTTTCATGAGCTAGAACATTCTGAAAAAGAAAAACATTTTGATACGAAAAGCGTAAAGTTCTGTATCTTTGCCTCTTCTGCGGGTGGTGGAATACAAGGACGTTTGCAGGAGCAGAGGACAAAAGTTCACATTTACAAGAGTTTACCAGAGTTCACATACACACACCAACTTTGAAAGTCTGCAGAATGAACATGGATTAAATGATATTTAAACAATACATGTTAGTTTATTAATTTTTTCACAGTCGCACAGTGCTGAATGTGATTCAACACTTTGCTCCTGTGCTACAGAATCAACATGTGTTGATTCACTCAGACAACATGATGACTGCTGCGTACATAACTGTCAAGGGGGTGTGCGTTCAGCCCAGATGTTACACATTGCGCAAGCTACTGTGTTGGGCTCACCGAAACCTGCTCTCCATCAGAGCAGTTTACATACCCGGTGTTCTGAACAGAGGGGCAGATGTGATGTCCAGGGGCGGCCCACGTCACGGGGACTGGACTCTCCATCCAGACCTGATGGTTCAGACGTGGCAGAAGTTTGGCAAAGCAGCTTTGGACCTGTTTGCGACACGAGAGAACGCTCAGTGTCAATTATGGTTTTCCCCTGAGCCCACGAGACGATCCTCCGCTGGGGGTGGATGCATTTGCTCACAGCCCGTGGCCCAAAACGCTTCTGTACGCGTTTCCCCCACTTCCTCTGATTTTACGGTTCCTGAACTGAGTTCAGGAGGAGGGACTGACAGCTCTTCTGGTGGCTCCCGAGCACGTGAATGCACCATGGTTCCCAGTCCTGCAACGTCTGTTGTTGGGTCGTCCGTGGAAACTGCCGTAGAGGGAGGATGCTCTCCTTCAAGCAGGAGGAGCGATCAGGAGTTACTCAGAAATAGGTCAGCACCTGTGGGTCTGGCCGCTGAGCGGTCCCGCTTAGAGAGGATGGGTCTCCCGCAGGAGGTAGTGCGCACAATCCAAGATTCATGTGCTGCATTTACCACAGCTCTGTACACATCAAAGTGGACGGCTTTTCAGCGCTGGTGTACAGAGAAAGGTGTAGAGGCCACCTCATGCCCATTAGGTGGCGTGTTGTCTTTTCTACAACAGCTGATGGATAGGAATTTGGCATTCAGCACGATTAAAACGTACGCTGCAGCCATCTCTTCCTGCCACGAAGGGTTCGGAGACAGAACAGCTTTTAATCACCCGCTGATGAAGTGGTTTCTAAAAGGCGTACAGAGATGCAGCCCTGCTTCACGCCCACTTGCTCCACAGTGGGATTTAACGCTGGTCCTGCGAGCCCTGATCAAGCTCCATTTGAGCCTCTGGATCAGGTTTCACTTAAATTCTTGTCTCTTAAAACAGCCCTGCTTCTGGTTTTAACATCCGCTAAGAGGGTGAGTGATTTATCTGCCCTCTCTGTCGCTCCGTCATGTCTCAGAATTCAGGCTGATGGTAGTTCAGCTGATTTAAGACCAAACTCAGCTTTTATGCCTAAAATCATCACGAGCTCTTTTAAATCAAGAGCGATATCGTTGGAGGGGTTTTTTTCCCTCCCCCCCCACAGATCAGAAGAAGAAGCATCTTTTCATCTTCTCTGTCCGGTGCGGGCGTTGACGTGTTACATAGCGCACACAGCTGTAATGCGTCAAACTCAACACCTGTTTGTGCATTATAGAGATGCATCTGCAGGTCGCCCGTTATCCACCCAGCGCTTGTCACACTGGCTGTGTGAGGCCTTTCCTGAAGCCTACAAGCATCAGATTTAGAGCCTCCTGTCAACCTCAAGCACACTCGACCAGGGTTATCGCATCTTCGACTGCTCTGCATAATGGTATGTCAATGCAGGACATTTGCACTGCGGCTGTGTGGTCAACACCCTGCTCATTCATTCGCTTTTATTTACGTGATGTGACGGCTCGTTCCATGACACATTCTGTCCTTAGTGCTCTAACAGAATGAATATTGTTGTTTTTCATGGAACTCTGTTTAAGCTCACTTCTGTCTGCATGCACTGCAGTGTGAGATGTTGTTATCAGTCACAAGTTGTGTCTGTGATTTTGGTTCTATTGTCATTAATCAGTTCATGACTATTGTTACCAATCAGTTCATTTGATCAATAATCAGTTCATTGTTTTTTGATCTGTTTATACTACTCAACCATGAACCAGTTGGTTCATGCCCCCCCCCCCCCCCCCCTCTTCTTTTCAACATCCTTTCCCCGTTGAAAATTTCCGGGGCGTTCATGTTTTTGTCAGTACGCATAGTTACACAACATGCGTCTGTGCATGGCACATAATTACGCAACGCGTAGTTATGCACACGGGGAGCTGAGTGAAAAGACGTTTTTTGGGCAAGCTTCCGCGTCATACTGTGTTCGAATGGACCCAGTGAGGCGAGGACCACATCCGCTTCGCCCTTAACACATCAGCGACAGCCTTAAAGGGCGAAGCCTATACGACATAGAACGTTGGTTACGTACTGTAACCCCAGATTCTATGAGTATAAGCCTCACTGGCTCCTAAATGGCTGAAGAAAAAGCTATTTTGGGAGCCGATTTCCCGCTCTTAACGTAATTTATACGGACCGGGTGGGGCCCACACAGCAGGTGGGCGTGGACTAAATTCTTTCAGTGCTTATGCTGCGCATAACGGGATAAACCCATCAGTGACAGCCTTAAAGGGCGAAGCTTATACTCATAGAATCTGGGGTTACAGTACATAACCAACGATTTGTGCAGTGTACAACTGATTGTTGTCCTATGGACAGACTCTCCCACCTCAGCTGTAAATCTCTGCAGTTCATCCAGAGTGATCATGGGCCTCTTGGCTGCATCTCTGATCAGTCTTCTCCTTGTTCCAGATGAAAGTTTAGAGGGATGGCCGGGTCTTGGTAGATTTGCAGTGGTCTGATACTCCTTCCATTTCAATATGATTGCTTGCATAGTGCTCCTTGGGATGTTTGAAGCTTGGGAAATCTTTTTTTTTATCCAAATCCGGCTTTAAACTTCTCCACAACAGTATCTCGGACCTGCCTGGTGTGTTCCTTGGTCTTCATGATGCTCTCTGTGCTTTGAACAGAACCCTGAGACTATCACAGAGCAGGTGCATTTATACAGAGATTTGATTACACACAGGTGGATTCTATTTATCATCATGAGTCATTTGGGACAACATTGGATCATTCATAGATCCTCACTGAACTTCTGGAGTGAGTTTTCTGCACTGAAAGTAAAGGGGACGAATAATATTGCACGCCATACTTTTCAGTTTTTTATTTGATATAAAAGTTTGACACATCCAATAAATTTCATTCCACTTCACGATTGTGTCCCACTTGTTGTTGATTCTTCACAAAAAATTAAAATTTTATATCTTTATGTTTGAAGCCTAGCAGCACGGTGGCGCAACTGGTAGAGCTGCTGCCTCTCAGCGAGCAGGTCCTTGGTTCAAACCCCGGTCCAGGGGCCTTTCTGGGTGGAGTTTGCATGTTCTCTCCGTGCATGCGTGGGTTTTCTCCGGGTGCTCCGGTTTCCTCCCACAGACCAAAAACATGCATGTTAGGCTGATTGATAACTCTAAATTGCCCCTAGGTGTGAGTGAGAGAGTGAATGGTTGTTTGTCTCGTTTGTCTCTATGTGGCCCTGTGATGGACTTGCGACCCGTCCAGGGTGTACCACGCCCCTCGCACAGTGATTGCTGGACATGGGCACCAGCGACCCCCGTGACCCAAAATGGAATAAGCGGGTAAAGATAATGGATGGATGGATGGATGGATGTTTGAAGCCTGAAATGTGGCAAAAGGTTGAACAGTTCAAAGGGGCCGAATACTTTCGCAAGGCACTATATATATATATATATATATATATATATATATATATATATATATATGCTGTGTATATATATATATTATATGTATATAGATGTGTATATGTATACACATCTATATACATATACATTTGTCATCATTCTTTGTTGAAATCAGGTCTCTCTTGTAAATCAGTCCTCGAGACTCAATGTGATTAACCTGTCTAAATAAAGGTTGAATGAAAATCTTTTTTTTCCTGTTTCTGCTATAGAGCAACAAAACTAAACCTTTTATGCAAGTCTGTGTATTTTGATTTATTAATCCATTTTCTACCTGGGTAGCTACTCTCTTATTTTGAAAAATGGCACTTAAAATTCATTCAAACTTTATTCTTAAAAATCACTACTTTGTTTGTTCACAGGTTGTTGCTTTTTTTTAAGTAACTGGAGCTTAAAGGAAATCCTTTTCCGCCTTTCTTTGACCACTTGGCACGAAGAAGAAAAACGACCAATCAGAGCAGGACTCCAGACCGTCAACCAATCAGCGACCCTTGTACCATTTTTTAAACTACTTCTTAACTGTTGATTGCGTTTTCGGGTTAGCTTGTGTGCAGTGCGTCTGCGAAATACTTTTTCCCTCCTGTTTATTAAAATTCCACAGGATATTTTGTATTTTAAAGAAGGTAATGTATTGTTTTATTTATCTGTTGTAGGTTGCTTGTGACTGAATGAACTTTTTTTTTAAGTCGGAAGTTAGCTGCTCGGCTACCTAGCTTTTTAGTTTATTTTTGTTGCGTTGGTTGCAGTTAACTTCAGCTGTGTTGTATGTGTTTATTATAAAATTATTATAAATATAAGCCTTCATGAACGCACTATGCTCTTGCTAAAATTACGTAGGATAATGGTTCATTCTCAATACTGCGTATCTTCAGAAACATCACATTTAAATTAATGTGTATTGACTCCTTTTACTTAGGTCTATTGTAAGAATGATGACAGTTCTAACACATTTTCACCATGATTTTGTAGCTGAACAGTAGATTTTCTTATACAGTATACTTTTTTTAAGCTCCAAAAGTTCATGCTCAAATTCTTTGTTTTCTGAAAATATAATTTACTTATCTTCATAGAGATCTTCTGAGAGTCCCTAGTACTAAACCATAAATTTCATTCTTTTTTTAATGTTTAGGATTTGTCTGGGCATGTTGGGTTTGTCCTTCTCTTCTGGACAAGTATTCCTGGGATGTCACTTCACTACACTATTAAAACTAATTCATGTTGAAAACCTACTACACTATTTACCATGATAGATAAACATGTTTACATAGGACAAGAATGCATTTTTTTAATCTTATCCTCCCATTTAACAGTCTTTGTTGTTTTATTTTTTTGTGTGTGGGAAATGCACTTAACAAAACTTTTAAACTATCAGCGTTGTTTGAAGTAATTGTTTTATAGTTTAACTTGAACATAGATTTATTGATGAGACGGGACAATGTTCACTGAATTAACAAGATTACCAAAAAGCACTTTCTATCAGCAGTTTCTTTGGCTGATAGCAAAGATTGAGTGGTATTTAAAGAACAGCCATCCTAATGTTTTTTCTTGTATTTTTCCTCTTATTACTGGTATTTTGGAAAAGCTTAAGAAAGGCCTTTAATTCAAAGATGATTTTATGCTCTGTTGTGCATCTTTTAAAGATGAATTTCTAGTTTCATGTGTCATCCATGAATAGTTTAGTACTGTACTTATGACTGTAAAACTGACCAATATGAAATGTTGTTTTTGTTCCTCCTAAATTCTGCTCATAATTAACGGGCCAATCGCCCTCCAATGCGAGAGCCAGGGGTTCAATTCCACCAGCAGTCACATGAAGTCCCTGGGCAAGACACTGAACCCCTCATTGCCTCCGATGTGTGTCCATCGGTGTATGAATGTGATAAAGCATTGATTAGTCTTTGTATAGATCCATTCGAGTGCTGTGTGAATGGGTAAATGAGGCACAGATTGTGTTGTAAAGAGCTTTGATTATCTTGATAAAATAGAAAGGTGCTATACAAGTACAGTCCATTTTATGTTTTATGTCTCATTTCATCCTTCTTGTAATTCATTCAGGTATTTGAACATGGAGTCACGGTTTGCTTACCTCCGGGAGCGGGACACAAGCGTGTCAATGCTGAGGGTAAAAATGTCCCGCAGAAGGTCTCAGTCCCAAAAGGAGAATCGAGAGCGGGTTGTGAATACACGCAGGAAACTGGATAAACTCTCAGAGCTGGAGATGTCTTCATTGAACGTTTCCATAGCAACAGCCAACATGTCTCCTATTCAGGAGAAACAGAACAACGCCAAGTCTGCTAAAAGTACCGGTATGACCCGATTTAATGTTTCTGACAACTCTGCACAAATCTACACTGATCTATCTACAGCAGCAATATTCAACTAAAATACTTTGCACTGTTCCCACTAATTTAAGGTTTTATCAAATGCTTATTTTCCAACAGTTTTGGCTCAAGACAGATTAAAACGACTCGAGCGCTGGAAAGAACAGAAGTCCCTCCAGAAGGAGAAGGAAAAGAGAGAAAAGGAGCGCAAAGGGATATTTAAGATTGGCCTCTATCAGCCAAAGGACACCATCACTTATTCCTCGCTGCCCCCAGTTCCACCTGCTTCATCCAGATCTAAGGAGGTGATGATGCACATGTAATGCAATCGTATCTTTGTTGCACCTCTTCTGTCTTGTTTTTGTTTATGATGACATGAAGGGGTGGGAGGTCGGGGTCACTATTTTTATTTCAGTAAAATATTTTCATGCCTTTCAGAAAAAGGTGACTGCAGCTCCAACCCAAAGTACCAGAGTCACTCGTTCGATGAAACAGCAAGAAGCACAAAAGGTGTGCTTTTCGTAAAACATGACTGCATATTTTCTTGTTTTAGTATGATCTGTTAATAGCATAAAGTAATGTATACTTCTTGTTCTTTTTTCCAATATTCACACCGCCTCTGATGTTGCAGAACCCACATACCGCAGCAAATAAAGGTAAGTGTCTTTATGAAAATATCTAGTGAACTGAAGCCTCGCAGCCTAACTTCCCTCTCTTCCCTTTAGCTCAACCTGCAGCAGAAAGATCAACCAGAGCCCATGTTGCTGTCATCAAGCCTCAACCGGCTGCTTCCAGGGCCAACGTTCGTGCAGGTAACTACCGGTAATGAGAAGGAATGCTGGTACATGACTGAACATTGACACGGGGGTACAGGGTCCCACACATTCTTCTTCAACCAGATCAGCCAGCAAGACTCGTTATAAAAACTCCTGTGGTGAAAGACGATCTTTAAGGCCAAGGCTGCGGGTGCACACAGCACGATGCCCAGTGTACAGCTCGTCTTGAAAATGTATTAAGCTTTGGTTCGCTTCCACAGTAAAACTTTAGTTTAGGAGAAAGGTTTTCTAGAAAACTGCAAATAATGTTAAATGTTGGGCGGCACAGCACGGTGGCTCAGTTTATAGAGCCGTTGTCTCTCAGCAAGATGGTCGCCAGATCGAATCCCTGTCTGGAACCTTTCTGGGTGGAGTTTGCATGTTCACTCCGTGCATCCATGGTTTCCTCCCACAGACCAAAAACATGCATGTTAGGCTGATTGTTCACTCTTAAGTTGTACCTAGGTGTGAGTGAGTGAATGGTTGTCTCGTTTGTCTCTATGTGTCCCTGTGATGGACTGGAGACCTGTCCAGGGTGTACTCCACCTCCTGCACAGTAGTGACCCCCGTGACTCAAAATGGAAGAAGTGGGTAAAAATGATGAATAGATGTTAAATGTTGCTCTCTGCCCTCAGACGTGAGAACGACCAGGTCCAGGGCTGTTGTCAAACCTCTGGCCCCTCCCTCTGGTGAAGCTGAGAAGTGTAAAGGTATCATTATATCCAATCGTCTACATTATGGCATTGCTGTTCAGCTTTATGAGCATAAAATGTTTTGATTTCTCAAACTACTTTCTAATTTTCTGCAGTTGTGAGCAGCATCGCAAACACTGCTGCTTCCAAGGTGAGTGCTGCGTCACTGAAGGTTTGAAGCTGCATTCGGAAAGAGGTTTTTTTTTTTAAGTATTACTTTGTTTGCTAATTCTCTTTTTGTACAGAAGCTGGAGTTGAAGGAGCACCAGGAGCCAGCGCAAACACTTCGTCCTCCCAGCCCACAACCCTGTCCCAAGGAGGAAGACATGGACGTGGACCCTGCTCCGAAGGAGTGTGTTCCTGTTAAGAACTCTGTCCGTCAGTCATTTGCTCCAGAGGGTTTTATCTTCCAGGCTCCCTCTGGCTTGTCTTCTTTTAAGTTCGAGCCCCTGACTCCTCGCTCAGCTGACGCTTTCCTCACACCAAGGTCCGTTTCCCTTTGGATTTAGAACATTTTAAATATTATGTAGGTTAGAATATATGTAAGTTAGAATTGTTCTGGATCTAAATGCTGATCTGTGATTTATTATTTCCTGTTCTAGTTTCAATCTTCCGACATCTCCAGTGTTAACAGCTGAGTCCAAACCAAGTGAAGCCACTCCACCAACGACTCCTCGTACGTCTCCAGCAGGTGCTCCTCCGACCCCAGGAAATCCACTGGAATCAAAGCACAATGTACCTTACTTCAGGTGGTGTACTTTTTTTTCTTTTCTTATCTAGTTGTCCATTATGGGGATTTTTTTTTTTTTTTTTTTTTATGCAAACCACACGATATGTTTGTGCTGTAATTTTGTTTGCAATTTGTTCAGATCGGAAATCGTCAACGAAACAGACAGACTGATGACTCTTTGTCTCCTCTGGGAGGCTAAAGTGGACGATGAGTCCGTTCCAGAAGAAAGTGAGTGCATCTTCCCAATCCAAAATGACCTTTGAATGTGGGACTGTGTTTAATTTGGTGTTAATGTGAGTGATAAAACTTTATTACAGAAAATGACATCTTTAACTGAACCACATCATTTAGGTAGTGTTGTTGCTCTTGTCTGGCAGTGAGAAATTGCATGCGTACAGCTGTTGGTCAGGCAAGGCTGCTGATGAAAGAGCGTTTCAACCAGTTCAGTGGACTGGTGGATGACTGTGAGCTGGGGCGAGGGGAGAAGATCACCACCTGCACTGACCTGCAGGGGTTCTGGGACATGGTTTGTTTCCAGGTGGGTATTTTGTGAAGAAGGGAAAAGGTTGTCCTGATGCATGATCAATAATCCAGTTTGATAAATCTAACAAAGTTAAGTCAGGTCCTCTGGATGGATTCTTCTTGTTGATAAGTTTCGTCTTTTATCCAAAAGACTTCTTCTATCTGAGGCTCTGCAACAAACCCAGTCAACCAGTTTGAGGTGCCAAAACTAGCTGTTCACATGCAAAAGTAGGACCATCAGCCTAACATTTGATCGTTAGTGCCCTAATGGTCACTTGTTATTCGCTAACGACCAACTGCCATGGCGCTAACGACCAACGGCCATGGCGCTAACGACTAACTGCCATGGCGCCAACGACCAACTGTTATGGTAACAACGACCAACTGTTATGGTAACAATGACCAACTGTTGTGGCAATAACAACCAATTGTTTTGGCACTAATGATCAACTGATGATCCTACTTTTGCATGTGAACAGCTAGTTTTGGCACCAGCAAACTGGTTGACTGGGTTTGTTGCAGCGCCTCAGACTGAAGAAGTCTTTTGGATAAAAGACGAAACGCATCAACAAGAATCCGTCCAGAGGACCAGACTTAACATTGTTAGATAAGAGAAAAGGTTGTTCTGTTTTTAATGTAGGCCAATAATATTTTTTTTATTTTATGGACTTTTGCTCTTTGTCAGGTGGAAGACGTGCACAAGAAGTTTGGTGCTCTCAAAGACGCAGAGGCTCGAGGGTGGGTGGAGGAGCACAAACCCCCACCGCGCCAGAGGAAGATAGTGAAGGTGAATCCTCCTAAATGTAGCTTTATTAAAATATTGGACTTGTATGTTATGAATTTTTATCCCTTTGTTTTCTTTTCATGTTTATTTTGCTACAATAACCATACAAAGAACAACCTTGTTTCTGATTCTGTCCTTCATTAGACGGTTTCTCTAACCTTTCAGTTTTGTTTGTGTTTTCTTTTGTCAGAAACCACCAGCAGCACCACCAGCCAAGCCAGCAGTTACCAAAGCTGCAGCCAAGTCTCGTCTGGCTGCTGTGAAAGCTGCCATGAAAGCCAAACAGCAGGCAGCCGAGGCAGAGAAAGCAGCACAGGAGGCTGCAAACACAGAAAACCAAACCTCTCAAGAACCACAACCCCAAGCAGAGGCCCAAACTCAGGAAACGGTGGTCTTTGATGGAGGTTTCTTTAAAGTGGAGAGTCCAGCCAAACCATCAGGTGAGAGCAACGGCTTTAACTTGAGTGTCATTTGTCTGCTTGACCTTTTGTTCCCCTCTCTTGTTGAACTATAATATTTGTTCTTTACCTTATGTTTGTTTCCAGCTCGGAGATCAAGTCGTGGGAGCACTGCTGTGCTTCCTCAGGCCTCTCCCGTCTCTCTGCTCTCACCCAGAAGAGTCACTCGAAGGTCCCTCGCGCTGGTCCAGACTCCTGTTGGTGCACGCGCTTCTCCTGCTAGACGTGGCCACACTCCAGGCCAGCTCCACCTCAGCCTTGAGCAAACTCCAGCGTCGAAGTCCCGGCGCGCCACTCCTCGGGCCTCTCAGAGCAGAGTGGACACGGTAAACGTCTCTCTGTGTTTCTCACCTGTAAAGGAAGTGCCTTCAGAAGAGGTCCAGTCTGAGCAGAACCTCACACAGCAGTCAGAAAGCGTCTCTGTGCAGGAAGAGCCTGAAGCAACGGTTTCAGTAGAAAAGGATGATAAACCAGCTGTCACTATCACCAGGGACCTCCCACTGTCACCGAGACTTTCCCCCTCTCCAGTCCTGCAGGCTCCAGAGCCTCCATCATCCCTGAGTTTCTTGCTGTCCCCTTGTGGAACTTCTAGTCCTCCACCCACCTCCTCTCCTGCTGTGCAGCTTCATGTGGAGGCCCAGCAGTCTGAGTGTGTCACTTCTGATGGTTCCATCATTGAGGTACGCAAGTTGAGTTTTTCTTTGTGTGTATGTGTACTGTAATATTTCATCCTGCTGGGGTGGCTGTATGTATTTGATCATGCAATGATTGCTCTTAAAACTTTAGGAGGTTCCTGTTTTTGATTTTGAGCGCTACCTCCAGCCTTCAAAACGATGCAGCTTGTCACCTAGAGATGTGGGTGCTGGAGAGATGTTGTCACCCAGGGGAGCAGATGTCGAGATGGAGAGTCCCAGAGGTCAACCTGAGGAACTTGTGTGGCAGGAGCCAGGTACAACGGACGTCCACAAGTACACTGCATGCACACAGAAAACAGCTGGGCTTTGTGCTTCTTTAGAGCTGCAGCACGGTTTTATACAACCCCAATTATATAAAAAGTTGGCATTTTTGTTAGTGTAAATATAAACTGAACGCAGACATTTGCAATTTTTTTGCAATATTAATTTTTATATTCATAATGGCGCATAGTGAATGTATCAAATGTTTAATTATAAATGTAGTTTATATATATATATATATATATATATATAT